GAAAAGTCTAGCCTTTCGCCGCAAGACGCTCCCAGGAGGCCCCCAGAGCCCCCCAAGAAGCCTCAAGAGGCCCCCAAGAGGCGTCCCAAGAGGCCACCGGGAGGCGAAAATCATTGATTCCCGATGGAAAAAGTGCATACAAGGCTTTTCGGTTTTCACTGCGTTGAAGACGCTCCAAGAGGCCCCCAAGACCGCCCCAAGACGGCCCAAGAGGCTCCCAAGAGGCCCCCAAAACGGCCCAAGGAGGCCCAAGAGGCGCCCAAGACGGCCCAAGAGGGCCCCAAGACGGCCCCAAGAGGGGGACCACGAACCGAAAAGTCTAGCCCTTCGCCCCAAGAAGCTCCCAGGAGGCCCCCAGAGCCCCCCAAGAAGCCTCAAGAGGCTCCCAAGAGCTTCCCAAGAGGCCTCCAAAAGGGCCCGACAAGGGCCCCAATAGGACTGCCAAGAAGGCCCAGAGACGCCAAATAGAGAGCGATCGGTAACGCAAAAAGCTCTTCACACCAAGGCTCCCAAGAGCGAACGGTGACGTAAACAAGCTGATAAGACCAAGGCTCCCAGCAGAGAGCGGTGACGTAACAAGTTCCTGACACCATGGCCCAGCCAAGGCTCAGGAACGGGCGGCAACGCAACAATCTCTGAACACCAAGGCTCCCAAGAGTGAGGGGTGACGTAACAAGCTCTCAACGCCAAGACTCCCAGTACGAACGGTGGTGTGAGTAATTTCGGTTCCTGTTTCTGAAGCGCTCTTTCCGTTTCGGTGCCGGGCCAGGTTCCTTTGGCCCATCTGGCCACAGTGTTTGGGTTGTGGGCATGAAGCCTACTGAATGTTCGCTGGGATCTCGTGCGGAGCTTCTCGGGGGCCTCTTGGAGGCAGTTTGGACGCCTCTTGGGGGCTGTTTGGGTGCCTCTTGGGGCCTCTTTTGGGCCTCTTGGGGCCTCTTGGGGCCTCTTGGACGCCTCTTGTGGCCTCCTGTGGGCCGCTTGGGACGGAAGGCTCGGATGTTCGGTTCGTGTTCCCTCTCTTGGGGCTCTTTTTGGGGCCGTCTCTTGTGCCGTCTTGGGCGCCTCTTGGGCCGCCTTGGGGCCCTCTTGGGCAGTTTTTCGGCCCTCTTGGAGGCCTCTTGGGTCGTCTTGGGGTTGTTTGGAAGAACCTCTAGGGCCGTCTGGGAGCGTCGGGAAGCCGAAAGTCGAGAACGCCCAAATCCTTCAAAAACCCAAGGACGTCCATGCTTTTGGCCTCTTGGTGCCCTCTTGGGAGGCCTCTTGGAGGTCTCTGAGGGCGTCTTGGATCCCTCTTGGGCCGTCTGGGGGCAGTCTTGGGCGTCTTGGAGCGATCGTTCGGCGACTCGAGGCCGTCTTCGGCCGTCATGGAGATCTCTTTGGTGGGGCCCTCTGGGCCCGTCTGGGGGCCCTCCTGGGCCCGAGAACCGCGCGACAAGACGCGCCAAGCCCCAGGGGGCACGCGGGAAGGCCCGGGAGATTTGGCAATGTTGGGTCAGGGCCGTTCCATAAGTTTTCAGGGGTGAGGATTGGGGCTCAGAGGGGTACTCCAGATTTCGTAATAAAAGGGAGGGGGTCTCATTTCGGGGGGGTCTCTTCCAGGCTATCTTGGAGCGCCTGGGGGGGTCTGGGGACGATGTTTTGGAGGGTTCTCCCACGGGGGGGGGGTCTGAAATGGCTTGTCTTGGAGGGTCCAGACCCCCTCCCTTTTATTACCAAATCTGGAGTAGTGAGAGGACCTGAGGACACGCCCACTCCGTACCGGCGGCACGGTGGCGGATCTATTCCGATGAAGGCCTTCAGAAAATAGCAAAGCGCATGGCACAGTTGACGCACAGCAGTCAGCTTACAGCTTCACCCTCCAGCACGATCGACATATCGAAAATTGTGCGCACTGAGTTGCTGAAGGAGACCTGCCACGCGACCCGCTCTGACCTCCAAAAAGAGTTCGCCCAAATTACGAACGCAGTGGGATCGATGATTGAGGTGTCCCAGATACGTGTCGACCGCCTCCTACCCCTCGTGCGCGATGCGCACGAGAAGGAGGCGCTGCTCAAGCGCCAATTGGAGATCAAGCGGGCCGACCACTTGGAAAATTGGACCGACTATTTCACACTGGTTCTGCCGCATGATGTCGAGGATCAGGACCTACAGTTCTTCGAGGTGGCGAAGGCGAAGGGCGCGGGCCATCAGAAGCAGAGGCACGACGCCCCTCAACGAACACCCAGGACTTCCCCACAGCCGTGCTACCGTCGCCTCAGGTGTTGTTGCATCGTGATGTTGTTGTTCCAGATCCTGATGTGGCTGCTGCTGATGTGGTCTCTGGGACTTATCGACATCGGTTGCTCCCTCGTTTCGGTGCCTCCCCCTCCTTCCCTCCTTCCCCTCTCCATGAGGTTTCTCCCCTCTGCCTCGTGGTCCCCCTTTCTCTCTCTCTCTTTCGCTCTCTCTCTCTCTCTCTCTTCTCTCTCTCTCTCTTTCGCTCTTTTTTTTTTTTCTCTCTCTCTCTCTCTCTCGCTCTCTCTCTCTCTCTCTCTTTCTCTCTTTCACCCAACCATCCTGTTGTGTTGGGTCCTCGTTTTGAAGAGACAGCGCCCCGCGTCCCTCCTCCTCCTCCTCCTCGTCCTCCTCCTCCTCCTCCTCCTCCTCATCCTCTCCTCCTACTCCCCCTCCTCCCTCCTTCCCATTCGTCCTTGCTCTTCACGCACTCAGTACAGCGTTTCGTGGCCCCGTAGGGAGCTCCACCGAAGGCTCCACTGGGACCGCCCGCATGCGTCATCCACTAACTAGTACAGCGTTTCGTGGCCCCGTAGGGGGCTCCACCGAAGGCTCCACTGGGACCGCCCGCATGCGCCATCCACCAAACAGTACAGCGTTTCGTGGCCCCGTAGGGGGCTCCACCGAAGGCTCCACTGGGACCGCCCGCATGCGTCATCCACCACCCAGTACAGCGCTTCGTGGCCCCATGAGAGGGCTCCACCGAAGGCCCCAGTGTGACCGCCCGCATGCGTCATCCACCACCCAGCACAGCATTTCGTAGCTCCATAGGAAGCTCCACCGAAGGCTCCAGTGGGACCGCCCACGTGCGTCACCCACCACCCAGTACAGCGCTTCGTGGCCCCATAGAGTGTTCCACCGAAGGCCCCAGTGGGACCGCCCGCACGCGTCACCCACCACCCACTACAGCGCTTCGTGGCCCCATAAGAGGGCTCCACCGAAGGCCCCAGTGGGACCGCCCGCACGCGCCATCCACCACCCAGTGCAGCGTTTCGTGACCCCATAGGGAGCCCCACCGAAGGCCCCAGTGTGACCGCCCGCATGCGTCATCCGCCACCCAGTACAGTGCTTCGTGGCCCCATAGGAAGCTCCACCGAAGGCTTCATTGGGACCGCCTGCATGCGTCATCTACCACCCAGTACAGCGTTTCGTGGCCCCATAGAGGGTTCCACCGAAGGCCCCAGTGGGACCGCCTGCATGCGCCATCCACCACCCAGCACAGCACTTCGTGGCCCCATAGGGAGCTCCACCGAAGGCTCCACTGGGACCGCCCGCGTGCGTAACCCACCACCCAGTGCAACGTTTCGTTGCCCCGTAGAAGGCTCCACCGAAGGCCCCAGCGGGACCGCCCGCATGCGTCATCCACCACCCAGTACAGCGCTTCGTGGCCCCATGAGAGGGCTCCACCGAAGGCCCCTGTGGGACCGCCCGCATGCGCCATCTTCCACCCAATGCAGCGCTTCGTGTCCCCACAGGGAGCTCCACCTAAGGTCTCCGTGGCGGAACTCGTATGGCGGCCCAGCGGCGGAGTTCGCATGGCGACGATTTTCGATTTTCGGATGTTTTTTTTTGTCGTATTCGACGTATGGGGGACGCTTTCGGGCCGCGCATCCCAGGCGGGAGCCAGCCTGCTCGCTCTGTCTGCTCCTCGCAGCGGACGACCCGCGCGCGTCGCCAGGACCCCTTCGGGGTGACCAGCGCGCGTCGCGGGGACTCCGTGCGGCGCCGCGCCCGCAGCCTTGGACGTGGGCGCGCACGGGCAAAAAGGGAGAAGAAGAACGGGAAGGAAGCGGGCGCGATCCTCGTGAGAGGCGTGCCGACATGGGCGTCGACATTATTGCACGTAGATTCACGCGTGCGCAGACTCATCCACAATCAGACTCACTCGCTCTGATTCTCTCGCACACAGATCTATCGTCTTCGCTCGCGCCGTGTGCCCCGCCACGCATGTCGGCACGCCCCTCGCACGGTTCGTGGCCCCATAGGGAGCGCCGGCGAAGATGATATTCATAATTGCGGTATTCACAACTACACATGGTTGGGTCTTTCGCCAGGCTAATTGTGTGTGTGTGTTCTCTCTCTCTCTCTCTCTCTCTTTTTTTGTCTCTCTCTTTCTCTCTTTCTCTCACGCGTTTCACTGTTCACGCCAACAAAGATGTCGCGGAACTTTCGCACATTGATTTCGGAGCTGTTGGGTTTTGGGGCCAGTTTAGGCGTTGCACACGGCCTCCCGGGGCTAAAAACAATGCGTAACGTGAAAAGTGGTGCTTAACCGGGGTCGTGGGGTTGGCTTGGGTGTTTCACGGAGCCTCCCAAGGTTAACAAGTACGCATGAGAACCAGACGTCTTTTTTTGGAACCCAGGAGCCCAGACATAACTCCATATTCTAATGGCGAGCATCGTGGGGGGCAGGTTAAAACGTCCATTCGAGGCCCCGCTATAGTTTCAACCTTTTTTTTACCAGGGCTCAGGGTCGAGCTCACGCCGTCGAGGTCCTCGCTGCGTGGTCTTCCTCTTCATCCTCCTGCTCCTCATGATCCTTCTCCTGTGTTTCCTGTTCCTTGTCGATATCCTCCCCCTCCTCTTCATCCTCCTCCTCCTCCTCCTCCTCCGTATCTCACTCGCACTCGCCTGTTTCCCCTCCTTCTATTCCCATTTCTCTCCTTCTCAAGGCCCCAGTGATGTGGGCAGCTGTCAGCGGCGAGTGCACACAGAATGGCACTTGCGTGGCAAGCCCAAATTTCCCAGGGAAGTACGGGCACATGCAGAAGTGCGTGTTGGGCATCAATTTAGCGTCTGTGGTGCCCATCCGAGTCGAGCATTTCCGCACTGAGCAGAGGTATGATAAGCTCGTGGTCAATGGAGTGGAGTATTCCGGAACTGCTAGCCCAGACGGCGTTATCCCGACAGCGAGCATTACGTGGACTTCGGATGGTGACCATAGTAACCAAGGGTGGAGGCTGTGCGAGGCATCCTCTCCAGCATGAGGAAGAATAGGAAGAGGCACAGGAGCAGGTGTGAGAGGAGACGAGTAGGGAGACGGTTAACGAACCAGCTTACACATCTCATCGCTATGCAAAGAGGAGAAGAAAACGAAACCGAATATTACCCCCCGGGGCGGGTCGGCGCCAGCCTCGTGAGCCTCGGTTGGCTGAGTTTCCCATCAGGCCATTCGGCCTTCTAATTCCTGGACGGGTCCTCCCACTTCTGAATTGCGGTCAGGGCTTATTTGCCTGCTTGAGTGGGGTGTTGCTTACATGCAGCGACCATGCCCGCACCCAGCCGGCCACCCCCAGTGGGGGTAGAGCCTAGACACCCGCTCCTCCAACAAACAATCTGACTATACGTCTCGTGCATTACCTTCCCCTAGACTTCAATCCCCTAGACTTCAAACAGGGGGGGCAGTGGAACGGGTTTCCCTTAGGACTCGACTCGGTGGAATTGGGCCCCCAGGCACATTTCCTGGCGGAGCCAGTCCAAAACAGAAGACTTGCCAGGACCGCTTTGGCAGTACAAACAGACCCAGGAACCCCTTACCTTGGTTAAGCTGTGCCCAGAAGAGTGCTCGAGTAGCTTCCTCTCACGCCATGGCTTACTGGCACCCTGCACCCTTCATGCGAAATTGTGCTGGCTTCCCTCTTCTTGTGCAACGGACGAATTAACACTGGCTATCCTGCGCTGTTCTAACCAGGCCTTGAACTCAGCCTCTGCTAAGACACGCAGTTCAGGATATATGGGCTGCGCATTCGCTCAGCACCTGTCTGAGCACTGCTGCTAGATATTGACCCTCGAAACTTTGAAGAGTGGAATGTCTGCCAACAAAGATGTGCAGTCAAATGGGAATCACACTTGCCTTATCATCATCGTCTGACTACCGCGTCATTCTGGTCGAGCCCACCAGCCCTCTAGATGTCCAGCAGAGGCACATCGGGAGACGTCGTGAGGAGACGAGCGTACACAACATGCGACGTCTTGGATGACCTAGACAGGGCCTTGTGAGATTTGCAAGGCCCACCAAAGGGCCGTAAGCTCAGGATATGGCATCGTATGCACTCGATCGATATCCCCACACGCACCAGGACGGAAAACCTCGGGATCATTTTCCTCGACCTGTTGCACCGACTGGGCGAAGTACATTCCCCAGCGTGCACCCGCTATCCGCGCGTCCGTGCTCGACGCCGAGCCGTCCAGGAAGGCCGGCTTGCTGATGATGCGCTGGTGGTACGGGATGGTGCAGTCTGGCAGCAGGTCAGTCCAGGTAATGTGGCCACTGCTGGTCGCCCCAAGCCGGGGGCGGTGGCACTTCGTTGCACGTATTCGGAAGCATGCCACGCTCCCACAACTCAAGGTTCACTTCCAGCTTCCTTGGCGATGTCTTGCTCCGCTTCAACACGCAGCCCCTCGCTCTGTCTGATCCACGGGTGGTCGGAAACTGGCGTGGGTTTGCACTCCCAGACGCTGTGGCCCATAGTCTCAGGTCAGCCTGAGGTGCACCTTTTGCAGAGCCCGTCCACATGGTGTTGCACACCACCGCCTCCAGCGCTCCAGCTTCTCGATGTAAGTCCATGCGCCTCATCCTTTGCACTGTCTTGGCAGCCGATATTGGGTCTGGTCTCGAAATCCACTCGCCTCCAACATGGTCCTTGCCAGCTTGCTGCCGTAGCTCCTGCAAGACGTCCGCCACGATCACCGCCACCATGTCGCTGGCGCCGTCCTCTCCCTCATGCTGCGCTTCTCGGTCCGCAAGACCTTCATGGTCAGCACTTCGTTCAGGATGCTCTTGATCCCGATGTTCTCCACAAGCAGGCGTACCCTCTGGCCACCTCTTCTCGACGCTGGGTATGGGGGCCTCACGTCTGCACCCTTAAAGCCTGATCGTCACACTGCCCTGCATAGTCGTCCAACAAGTCGGCGTTCTGTGTTGGGTGGCTAGGCTACAGATCGCCAGTCGCACGTAGCTTTTAGCACGTACGTGTGGGGCAATTACGAAGGGCTGCCCCAACCCTCCTGACCCCCTGACCCAGATCTCGTCGTAGGCAAACAATATTCGGCCCATCAACCTCCAGCGATTCAGCACCGCAGGGTCCCACACTCTTGGGGGGCGCCTGCCCAGGAGCGGGTTTCGTCGCCGTCTCTGCCTTCTGGGCGGTAGAGTCGACAGCGAACACGACGTCCAGGTTAAGGGGCCAGATCCTCCATGAAGCCCACGTCGCTGTCGTCGAGGTCGAGATGCCCTCGTTGCTGTGCTTCTCCGCTCTCGGTTTGTCGTTTGTGGGGCAATTACCGAGGGTTGCCCCCAACCTCCTGACCAAGAGCTGCTCGTAGGTAAGGTAGCCGGCCCGCAGGGTCCCACTCTCTTTGGGGCGCCGGCCCAGGAGCGGGTTTCGTCTGCGACGCCGTCTCTGCCTTCTCAGGGAAGGGCCAGGGCCGCAGCGTCGATGGCGCAACCGATGGCAAGGCAGATGGATCGTCAATGAGGTCCGACTCCAGCTTCTCCATGGGGTCCACCTCGCTGTTTTGCCTGTACCCTGGCTCGCTTCACTGCTGGTGGTGGCAGCCCTCGGTCCCAGCAGAACATTGGCGACATCTGAACCTGGATCCCCAGGATTTGTGAAGCTGCCTGCGCTCTGACTGCGCAAAACTAAGGCGACATGTGAACTGGAGCTCCCAGATTTGAATGGCTGTCTGCATTCTGACTGGGCAACAGAGAGGCGACGATTGAACCTGGTTTCCCAGAATTTGCATGCGCCATGTCCATGTAGCGCCTCTGGAGTCACAACCCAGCTCTGGCAACCCCTGGATCAATGCTGCCATGGGGCCCGTGACCACGTTCCATTGGCCTCTAGGCCTTGCAGCTCGTAGGCGACGCATCGCTGCATGCCATCCAGCTCGTAGCTTGCTGTGGTACGTGGCATGCGCCTTCCACAGCCTGATCCACTCGGCAACCTGTCGGGTTGGCCCTGCTGCGTTGAGATCCCTCTCGAGGAAGTGGGACAGCATGACCATTGACGTATCTCGCCCTCCCGTTGTGTATCCAAGCCTGTCTGCAGCTTCCGCTCGAGCTCTCTTGACGTCCGCTGGCGGCGCGCCCACGGCAGGGCCGTCGTAGTTGGACTTCTGGCCCTCACGCTGGTGGCGCTGAGTTGCGCCGGCCTGCGCCTTCGCCAGCTTGCTCCTTTGAGTGCGTTGGCTGAAGTCGGGCGTGTCCGTCCACAGGAGGTATTTAAAATTATCCTGGCGAAGGTCCCAACCATATGCAATTGTGAATAACGCTTTGTGGGTGCCGCTTTCGGTGGGGCTCCTTATGGGGCCACGAAAGGCGTGCCACGAAACGCTGTCCTGGGCGTACGGGACGCATGAGGGCGGTAGCACTGGGGCCTTCGGTGGAGCTCCCTATGGGGCCACGAAACGTGTGAGGGGTGTGCCGAAATGGGTGCGGCGCCGCCATGCGAACGCAGCCACTGGGGCCTTCGGTGGAGCTCGCCACGAAGCGTGTGCGGGGTGTGCCGAAATGGGTGCGGCGCCGCCATGCGAACGCAGCCACTGGGGCCTTCGGTGGAGCTCCCTATGGGGCCACGAAACGTGTGAGGGGTGTGCCGAAATGGGTGCGGCGCCGCCATCCAACGCAGCCACTGGGGCCTTCGGTGGAGCTCCCTATGGGGCCACAAAACGTGTGAGGGGTGTGCCGAAATGGGTGCGGCGCCGCCATCCGACGCAGCCACTGGGGCCTTCGGTGGAGCTCCCTATGGGGCCACGAAACGTGTGAGGGGTGTGCCGTGATAGTGGGAGGGGGAAGGAGGGAGGGAGGGGGCAGCGGGAGGAAGGAAGGAAGGAAGGAGTGAACGCGGGGCGCTGTCTCTGCAAAACGAGGACCCAACACCACAGGATGGTTGGGAAGAATGTTCAAAAATAGCCTGGGGATGATTGTTCGATTATTTTTGGCTCGTTTTGAGTATTATTTCAGTATCTTTCATTTTTCTTACAAACAACCGCATGTAGGGGGACATACCCGACCTAAACGTTGGCTCTGATCACTCTTTTTCTGGCGGCTGCCTTTCGCTTGGTGGCCGTTCTTCTTCTCCTCCTTCCGCTGACAATGTCTATGCCCAGGTCCTTGGCAAAGGTGGCCGTACCGATGTTGACCCCCGGCTGCTTCAGGGCCTCCTTGGTGACCGTTGCTTCTTATGCTCTAGGCTCGGGTGAGAGGCCATGGTTATCGACGTTGCTGACATCTCCAGGTGGCTATCCATATAGCCTCTCACGATTTCTACCGTCGCATTGACCAGGTCGTTCTTGACTTTGGTGTAGTTGCCATCCGGCCTTGCGGTCACGCCGTCCACGTGTTGGCAATGCAGTGCAGCAGAACTTTGCTGTGAGCCCTCTACAACAACGTGTAGAGGAGCGCTCTTGCCGTATGTTTCGCATTGTTGCACCCTGGTACTATACTGCTCTCTGGTGTGATGGCTGGAGCATAAGGCCCGGCAGCTCGCACTACTCTTGGCGCCAGGTACGTCGCACAGTGGAGGCACACTTCCACCGCTGGAGAATCAAGATCCCGAGCACGCGAAACCAACAGCTTGAGATTGATACACTCATAGAGTTTTCTTGGCATCCAGATATACGGAGCCCCATGCTGGGGTCTCATCTCTTGCTCTGCTTTCGTCCACTGCCATGCTGAAAAGCTCTGCCTGCAGAGCCGACGACTGCCACCGCTGTGTCCCAAAAGACCGCTCTGGTGTTGCTCCAGTGCGCCATCTCTCTTCGCCGCATGCGCCCCCACAGCCGAATTGGCAATCGTATTAATCCACTGCCGTGACGTTGTCGCCCTTGCGCAGTAGCTCATACCAAACATGCATCCATCGATGCGGCCGCGCAAGGTCATCGGGACATGATTTGGTGGCCGATCGGCAGTTCGTGTCGTATCTTGGTTTGCTAGTGCTTGATGAAGATGTTGTGCCTTCCCCATGCC